TTCAGCGTCTCTCTGTCACCGCATTCCTTTCCGTCAACAAAATGTGCATAACTCAGAACAGCAATCCTAAACATCCAAACCTTTGCAGTCTGTGAAGCAGTCATTTCTTGACATATGCATTTGATTAAATGTGTCTCAAATTTGTCAAAGAAAAAGTATTTTTTGCTAAAAGTTTCAATATTAAATCCGTGAAGCCAAGATCCCCCTAAAAAAAAATCGGAATTATTCAATTTCCTGCCAAACTCTGCCACTGTTTAAAAAGTGCCAAAGCAATCATTGCATATTTTATCTCATAAACATACATGATGAACATGTGCAGGAACCAATATTACAACATTAAAGCCAGTTAGTCAAAATGTTTTGCAGTTAGTGTCCCATGATTTTTGCTCGTTTTCTTTTGTTTGGTTTTTGACAGCATTCAAAAATCTATCGACAGCATTTTTTTACTTGGCTTTCTTAATTAAGTTAAGGTGCAACCAAACAGGGTGATGACCCGAGCACTGTTCTCCAGGGCTGTAGCCTGGAGTTATGGGCTCAAAACACTGAGTGTATCTTCAGTCTGCCTCCATTTCATCCCCATTCCCTCACTGTCAGTGTTGGGTAAGTGTGATACCTAACTACTGTACATCTCAAGCTAAAGGGGTCACTAACACTCAGTTGTAGCATGTTAGCATAACTATTTTAAGGCACATTTTTTGAATTCTACAATTCCTGTCTTTAAATGTTGTCTTCAAACACACCCAAACTAAATGTACGGTACATACCCAGGGTGCACAGCTGCAGGGTGGCACACATGTTTGCATATGCTGTGTTCATACATCCCAGGTTTTGTTTACTGTACACGCACTGGCCTCAGGCTTCCGCTCTCTGGATGCATGGAATTCTAACGGAAAACAGATGCTTTCCACAGAGGTTGATGTGATACTGATCCAAATGCATTTACCAGGCGCAGAAATAAAGAACGGGATTATCACATCCCTCATTGGGTGTCTAAATGTAAATGTATGCATTCTTATAAAAAATATTTATTTTTAGAAGTTTGAAATAATGTGTTCCACAATGTTCCACATTAAAATAAAATAAATGAATGAAGCTATAAGATCTTTGAACAATCATTCTAACGACAGAGTACTGTGTAAGAAATCTGTTTTTCTAATCTTCCTGCAGAGGAATTCTTCAAAGACATTCATGAGGAAATGCCTTCAAGTCTCACTCGAGGCATTTTCCTCATGAAATTTCCTCATAAATTGTTATCTTCATTAAATGCAGACACCAAGGCTGTAGACTCTGCTGAGCCAGAACTATACAGTGTAGAGAGCGCAGGTTCATGCATGCGTGTTCGTTTTTTTCATAAGAATTACTTCATTGGGACTTTGTAGTACATGACTCTTTCAGAAGTTGCTATTGTGCAATAAATTACCAGGTCATGAAAATGAAGATTTACTATTAAATGTGTAGATTTGACTTCAGTTCAAGAGAAATTTGCTCCTGTTGTGATATTTTTTACTGTCCCTTTTGTCGTAGTTTGGGGACACTCGTGGATTTATACGGATGGAGGGACGGTGACATCCTTTGTCTAATTGGAGCCTGATGAACCCTCTCTGCTGTCAGCCCCAGTGGAACAACAGGGCGTATTACTGGCCAAAGTGCTCCGACTTAAATTACACTGAGCACTGTAGCAGTGCCAAAATCTCCCCACAATGTCCCCCCGTTCATCTCAGCTCCACCAGAGTCTCAGAGTTCAGAACCAGGTCATTTCATATAAGAGTAAATCCAGTGTCAATAGCTGGTGCAGCAGCAGATGATTTCTTACAGGAAGTTCATGTTTGGTGCCTCTTCACAATTTGTTGTTTTGTTGTTTTGTTCAGCATAAAACAGTCTATAGATATATGCACCTTGGGATGATGAATCACATACTGACAGTGGTCCTTAATTCACCATACAAGTGATGGCAGGTGTTGTATAAGATGCAGTTTAGCTGTTGACTTCGTCTGTGCTAACTGCCTCCAGGCTGCCTCCCCAAAAAGAACAATGCATTGGCCACCAATCACTGGCGTGGAGCTGTCTGGTGTGTGTTATACCTGTACCTGGTGATAAACAGCACAAGGTATGTATTATATTGCTATTAACGATAACTGGTTAGAATTTCCATCCAGCTGTCATTCCATTGAATACTGTGGCGTAAATGTGTCTTCTCTTTGTAATACAGAAATATCGCTATGTGTTGAAAAAAACCACATAGTAAACCAGATGTGTCATATGTGTATAAAAGACACACACACACACACACACACACATGTACTGGACCAGAATAACTCAGTGCTGCAGCCTGCTCTAAAGCCTGTGAGATGATATTTATAATGAATTAGATGAGTAATTCTGCCTTAACTATTGTCAGGATTGAAAATCATAATTGCAGTTGAGCTGCAGACACACTCTGTAGCTAAGACACATTTTTAATTCCAGGTATAAATGTAATATGGATAATTCATATCTGAATACAATCTAGACACGAGGTGAATGTTAATGCGCGCCGCAGAGAGGGCCACAGCTCTTCTTGTGGCTCACAGCCTCATTGTGATGGAAACGGAGTGCTAGCAGATTGTGACTGCAGTGGCTAGCTTCCTGAAACAATGAGACAATGTTAAGTGATTTTTAGCTTCACTTAAAGCCTGTTAAGACCTGTTGCCCGCATTAAGTAACAATTGTTTGTTTGATATTGGCCTTTAAACACAGCCAGTAAATTCTATTCTTCACGAAGCAGCTGCCAGGACTTAAACTCAACTTCAATAAACTCCATTTTCCCTGAGTGAGTGCTTGTTTGTAAATGCAAATAGACACAATCTGAGCACTCAGCTTCCACAGGGACCGACAATGTCTGAGCGATTTATGAATGGCTCAGATAACAGGCGCGACAAAGGGAAGATAAAACGGGTCAATATATTTTCTCTTGTGCTCTGATAATAATTTATCATCAGCACTGAGCAGCGGCAGCCATCTTAATGACACTTCACTTGTGTTGTTAACACTGACACGTTCTGATGCAACTGCTCCGCAGCCGGAGTGTCTGAGCATGCTCAGACATCTCTGGGTGTCTCTTAGACGTGTAGGAAGTCTGATAACGGTGATAATTTACAAACGGGGCAGGTGCTGGTAGAGAGCTTTCCACTTCTCCGAGTGGCAATTTGTGAATACAACAATTTCATCGAACCCATTGAGCTCTCCTACACTCTCTTGACTGCCAAACACCCGGCAACCAATGTACTCCAAACACTTGTCCATGCTTTCCTCCCCCAATCACCTGCATTGCTGATGTACAGGTTGAGTTTGCCAATAACACGATATTCCATATTGGTTGGGACATAAAATTGGAAACTATTAAACACAATTACTATGTATGTTCTATTAAACATAAAAATGCAGTTGCAGTGTACTTATTGTTTTAGTCTTTAAAAGTCACCAGAATGCAGGAAAAAAAAAAGTCTCTGATTTTTGTGGTCTCAAGGTTGACAAGTATGACTTCAGAATTTCTTTTTACCTTTTAAGTTGAAATTGTAAACTTGTTGCTTATTTACACATCAGGCAGTTATGGAACATTTTCATTCAATTAGAGTCGTGTTTCCGGCCACCTGATGAGTGTCTGATATTCTCCTTTAGCTCTGTTTTTGCTAAATGCTCCACCATGTCCACCAGTTAGTCGCTGATTGTGTCTGTTTGCCGTTTTTTGGAGCTTGTTTTGCTGCTGCATCAGAAAACGACACTATGACAGCAATTTGAGTGAACCAACACAGCAAAGTTGCGGACTGGAAAGCTAAACAATGAGCTGAAACTCACTATAAAGCTCTGTAATGCCGGAGGGAGCTGCAGTAGGAGTGATACTTCTCACTATGAATGGCCCCTTTCGTGTTGTTTTCACATTGTTGTAAAAATATCGATAGCAGCTTTAAGTTTAGACGGCACCTGCTACATCTCCATTGGGTTCAAACATCTTGACTACATACATGAGATGAGAAGATGGGTTTTCTCTCTGTACTGGTAGCTCACATTGGATGTCATAGATTTTCTGATTCGGTGGAAATGCACTGGCTGAATGAAAAAGAGTCGTCTTTCAGTAATGCTGCAACGCTCCATGGTGAAATGACTTTGTGTCACCCCTGGTTTGCATGCCGAGCCGGCTGCAGACATTTAGAAGAGACAAGTTTGGTCGGGCAAAACATCCATATAAATATTTCTGAACTTAAAATACAACAGTGGCGTGCTGTTCCGAGATGCATTGCAAATTATCAGAGACCCAGAGCCGAGTGTGACGCTGGCGCTCCTGGTGTGTTGGAGGTGTGTGATGAATGAGATACTCTAATACAGGGAGACATTTCAGTGGCATGCAATTTTAAACCCTCATATCAGGGCAACAAAGTGTACAAGTTAAGGTCTAGTGAATATCCTCACCAGTAATTATAGCCTGCACCCACGTATAATACATTCAGTGTGTAATACGCATAAGCCTCCCCATCCTCAGTATAACACAGGACACAGGATTGTGCATTTAGAGGAGAACTACACCCCCCATGACTCATCGCTTTAATCCTAAACACAGTGATCCTCATTACCCATCTTGGTTCATATAAGCTGCTTTTATATTGATCCGAATAAAGTTATTTTTTTCTTCTGTATTTCTTTGTAAATTAAATGTTGCATCGCTCCGCAGAAAACCAGCAGGGTGCAGACATGAGCTTTCTGTAAAATATAATCTCTATCAAAACATCCTAAAATGGAGTTTTATAGTGAACTTTAAGAGACAATTCACAACGTAATAAGCCTTGGTATACATCCCAGCACGTAATTCCTATCGCTGCAAGCAGTCGCATGAATGAGCGGCAGCAGATTTCCACGCAACTATTTCCGATGAGGGAATCTGACGTTTTATAGTCCTACTTGTGCACGGATAGAGGAAAAAGTGGGTGTACACACTAGTTGTGCCGTGTGGCTCTACGGTGCTTCAGTTCAGATGAGCTCACTCAGCCGACGCGCACACCGTTGGATTCTACCAATCTGAGAAGGCGCAAGGACGGCGAGCAGCAGCCTGGTGGTCAGTGATGAGTGGATACTTTTGTGCAAAGGCTGCGGACTTTGTGCTGCACAAAGTAAGAGAATAGAGAAAGGATCGCCCCCGTGTTGGAGAGATACAGTGGATTTAAGCTTGTCTGGATGGATGTGAATATACTCTTGTATCGCAGACTGGACTTCGGGCTGAGCGACTGATGAGAAGAAGCCGACTTTAAACACTCTGCTGTTCATTTTTGTTTATTTTCTTCCCCCCTTGTTATAAAATGCCAGGATTCGGTCCTTCATATTCTGTCCAGTTGAAGGCAGGGTGCTCATTTGGAAGGGCGCCAGACCTCCAGCCTCTCAAATCTGCAAGTTCAGTCCAATAAATTGTGACATTGTCTGTCAGCCTTGGAATAAGAAATCGATACTCAAGAAAAAGGGACGCGATATTCTTCCGGAATTTTAACGATCTATTTCTACGCTATCCTTATAAATATGCGATTGGGTTGGTGTGTTCCAGCTTCACGCTTTGTTTTTGCTAGAGCAGCGCTGATAGTGACTGATTATTGCTGTTGATTTTGTTCCATGCAAGACCCGGGGTGGAAACATGTCTGGCCACTTCTTTGAGAGGATCACTGCTATCAGAGATGGCATTTTGGTCCAGCACTTCGGTTTTCACCTCTAAAGTGCCCCGGAAAATCTTATTCATGTTCACCCTCTCCCTCTCTGTCACCTACTTGTTCTATAGCTTGATGAGCTGCTACAACTCGCTGCAGTTCCCTCTGCAAGAGAACTACGCGTATCAAGGGAGGCTGGTGACGGAGGAGACAACTTTTGTGACATTGAGGGAGAAACTTTACTCCGCTTCCCAGGGCATCACCGAATTCACCGAGGCGGAGAGACCCACCGCGGTTTCCACCGTGAAGGATCATGCTGAGACCGAACAAAGGACAGTGGAGTGGATTAGGACTCAGGCGTCTCCAACTAAATCGGCGGCGGCGTATCACACCAGCGCGCTGGATAAAGAGCACCAGGATTTCAGTACCACGGACAGCGAACTCAGGGTGAACTGCACCATGGATTACGGAGAGAAGAAACTTCCCCAAGCCATCATCATCGGGGTGAAGAAAGGGGGGACCAGAGCCCTGCTCGAGGCTCTCAGGGTGCACCCGGACGTCAGAGCCGTTGGAAATGAGCCACATTTCTTTGACAGGAACTACGAGAAGGGGCTGGACTGGTACCGGTGAGTTCCGTCTTATTTAGCCCCAGTGTTTTGACTTACAGCCCGATTTACACACTTAAAGCTGCCGTTTACCATTTTCCAAAAGCGTGCCTGTGTGCTGGTATATTTCTAAATGCATGTGTGTATAGCTTCACATAGTCACAGGTCTTCATGCTTTTCTTGGTGGTAAGAAAATCAATTTGCTCAGATTGATGGGTAATCAATCACCGTGATCTATGCCTACATGTTCGTCAAACTTAATACGTTGTGACAATGCTAACTTTTCCACTCACTGTACTTTCAACTACATTACATTACAAACCTTTTTTTTGTCTCTGATTTAAATAAACTCAACCCTTTGTTCTTTTGTTCAGTGTAGATTAAATTAGGTGTGCTGTTCACCTCTCTCCAGCTAGTTTAATCTCTTATTTAGCATATACTGAATGAACGACAGCAGTTTTGGAAAGTGTTTCGTAAATCACATATTTATTTGTCAAAATTGTTAAAACTTTGGAATGGTCCTTTAAGAGACGGTGGCTAACTGAAGAAAGTGAATTCTGTAATATTGTGTTAAGAGTCTGAGAGCACACAATTGCATTCAGTTTTACCTCATTTCTGAATCACAAGGTGTATTTTATTTAATGAGAATATACTGATCAGGTCTGCCTGTTAAGTTTAGACCTTGAACACAGTTACACAATATATGTCACACACACGTAGTGTCACCCAAACACACACACAGAGAAGTGTCACTGTATCGTTTCAAGTGTTTTTTCTTTATTTTTTTAAATGTCTGACCTTTAAATTGTTAATCTCTAAATCAAAATCACATTCTGTTTTACATGTTAGATTTGTATTTCGAACAAATAGAGGTAAATATGAAATACGCACTGAGATAAGCATCATATGATGTTCATTTTAAATATTGCATGAGAAATAGTCTTATTCAGGTAATTATTCTTCAGGTTTAGATTCTCTTACACTGTTATACACACTCGCACATGCAGTCATGCTCACAGATTACTGTAAAACAGAGAGAAATAGTTATTTTACAGGAGTATTTTTTAGTTATTTTGCATATAAGTATTTAAAGAGGTACCAGAAGTATTTTTACCCCTGGCAGTACTCTGTTTTGATCTTACAAGTCAGCCAGTATTCTCATCTTCTCCTCAACAGAACATTCAACCCTTCAATTACCTGACCAAATTACATAAGAATCTAACATGCAATAAATGCTGTATTATCTAACAAACCTTTTAGTTTTTAGCGTTGCAGCTGGTTGCTCAAAAAGGTGTCGGAATCTGTTATCACCACCTTTCCCGTGTGTGATTGTTGACATTCACTTTGAGTCCAGGTGTATTAGCCAGAGAAGAACCTGTTCATCGCCATGTTCATGGGAGAAACAACACAAATCAATTAGACGGTTCATTCATGGTCAGTTGGTCATGGCTCAGTTCGGCGTGGTTCTCACGATGTTTGACCGAGGGCATTTCAAGATTTCTCTAATGGAGTCAATGAGCTGATGAGAACGACGCTGACTCAAAGTCCCCTCTGTTTCTCTCCGTGTGTCTGTTACGCTGGTGTTTGGGTTGCGGAGCATCTGCTTTCATCTTGCTGCATAGACATGGGAGCTCTCGGCTGCTCATTCTGCCTGTGTTAATGCAAGCTGTTTCATTACACTCACGGTGAAAGGCTCATTAGACAGGAGGATGACATGCTTACATGAATAATAATAAGTGTGTTTAAGGGCCCCTGAGCAAAATAAACCCCTAAAGCAGCCTTTATTTTATGTCTATTGTCCTGTGTGGGCCGCTCACCTCAGAATGATGCATTCAGGAGGGAGAGTAACACATTGGCCGTTATCAAAGTTGATGGTGAAATGGTTTTAAAAAAAAAATCACGAGTTGAGACATTTTGTTTTTCAGATACCAGACACTGATATAAAAATTCATTCAGACCACGTTTGTTTGTTTGCTTCTAAATGATGCATTATACTGCATTCCTCTTCTCTGTCTGTGATGCGCTGGCTAATGTGGACTTAATGGAAGTGGAATTATGATCAGTTACAGATGTTTGCAGCCATTTGACATTGGCGTAGTTGAACGAGACCAGTAATCTCGTAAAATGTGATTCATAAATTTGGGCCTGTCACAGTAACACCTGCTCTCCATTTTGATGGATATGATAGACTACGGGGAATGCAACCCAAAGGCATCTTGTAAGCGCTTACATGTACTCAAATGCTCGTTTGGTCGGTTCTCAGCACAGTGAATCCGATGATGTCTCTGTGTTATTGCAGTGAGCTTGTGTTGGCTGGTGATATTTATCCTTTCTCATATTCAGGTTTAGTGATCTTTTGTGTGTCTGTGTTGTTATACTTTGTGTGTGTTACTTTAAAACTGCGTGCTCCGGAGGAGAGATGGCAGAGTGACGAAAAGCTCCATTGAGTTTTGTGCTGTGAATTAAAGAAACTTGAAGCCATGAAGTGAAGTGAAAATAATCAGTGTGGATACATTCAGGCATGCCTGGAGCCTTTGCCACTGAAAGTATTGTCTGGGTGAGTGGAGGTTACGGGTAGTGGTCCACTTCAATGAGACTGTAAACATGCGTTTGTGCCAGCTTTCAGCTGAATCTTGAACAGTTAGTTGCCTTTGTTCATTCAGTAACAATGCTTTTTGTTGTTACTTTTCTATAGATTGGGCAAATAATCATCCATGGAAGGTTGTTGTGATTATCCTGGCAAATGTCTGACATGGTCAGACGTCAGTGACAGTCGAAGAAAAGAAGATGTACAGGCAGTAGTGCTCACCCCCTCTTATTCCACAGCCGCTGTGTGTTGGGAGTTAAGGAAACCACCAGGCTCTCGTATCTCTTTCGTATTGAGCACCTCTAAGTCTTAAGTTTACATGACTTCATTTGCATACAATTTTGCTTAAAAAAAAACAATGTTTTGTGCTAGTGCATTCTATAAAACTGTCCCATTACTCACTCCTTTGCAGCTGGGGGGGGATTTATAAGTATTTCTTATAGTGACGTGGCACAGAGAAGGTTTTAGCCTATATGAACAAAGACTTCCATGTATATAAAAATGTCTGCACAAATCCACCACATACGTACATATATAATATTCACATCAGGAGTCCAAGTTTAGTGTGGGCCTGGTATGAGCCTCTATAGACGGGCCCAGATTGGTGATTCGTGCAGCTTTCCCGGTTTTATTACTCTTGGACAGTTTCTCCAGTGTGATTTGGGCTTACTTGAACAAGCAATTAGCAATGTAGTGCCATCATTACCGTACACACAGGACTTCCATCAGCCAATTGGCGCTTCTAATGTTACTTCTATTTCCGAGTAAAGAGGATGAGCCACCACCGCAAGGATTTAACTTATCTGTTCTCTTGAGCATTCCCCAACCTGGTGAAAAAACGCCCATCCGGGATTAGCAAACGTTTGATGCATGATGACCAATATGGCAAATGTTACTGCAGCTCTGTGCCAGTATTCAAAATGCTTTAGTGGAAGGATAATATGCCTCATAAATTGTGCTAAAGAATGTCATTGATTATCGATCATACATGAAGATTCATGAGCATTCTCAGCAGGAATCCACGCTAGTTGGGGTCCGGCTTAATGAGGGCTTATTAGGGAGGTTGACTGCTTGGTATGTTCAGCATTTTTGCAAAATGCCAAACAAATAGTGTTTATATTAGTGCTCACAAAAAGGGTTTGAAAGGAGCAACTGCCAAAAGCAAGAAGCCAAAATAAATACAAATTTTAACAGCTGTTTGAATAAGTTTGCCATAATTATCTGCGGCAGGTAGATAAACATGGTATGATCAATTACAATGCAATCTTGGGGGACGACACTCTCCAATATTTTTAATTTTTAATGCAATTCCCATTTTTAATCGCTAGCTGTCAGTGTTACATATAGCTCCTTTAACTTGCAGATTATAAGTGGCATGTACCACATTGTTAAAAATAAAACCTTTCTGAAACGTGTCCAATTGTCCGATTTATATTAATTTCTGTTGAAAAGTGTTTGACCAGATCAAATAATCCAGGAGGAGGAGTGAGCTTTCTCATCTATTGAGACTCAATGGAAGTCTGCTCTGCATTGATGTGTGAACTGGACAGTCAGCAATGTGGGAGCAGTTACATCAGTCTTTCACCAGGAGTAAGAATGGCTTTCTTCACACTCAAAGAACCTGGTATGGAGCAATTGTGTTGAGGAATATGCTGTGTAATAATGGAAGTATGCTGTAAATATTTAATTAAAGTAATGGTGTATGTTGAAGCATGAATTTGTCCTCAAATATCTTTGTAATTTATGAGCAAAAGCTGAGATTGAAGTTAATGGAAAGTGTGTGTTTTGGTAATCTAACTTTAGGCTTCATCTATATCTGCCAGAGGTGCAAAAGTTGAACTGATACTTATCAAAAAATCAATACAAGAGTCTGACACACAGCTACATCGACATAGAACCATAGATCCCAAATTCTGTGTGAAATGTATCACAAATCAATACGCCTGTGAAACAGAGATCTTAAAATGTCAAGTAACCGTCTCTGTGGCCTTGTGCTTCCTGTGTTTGTTTATGCAACACTGTCTGGAATCCCAACTGAAGAACTGTGTTGTATAAAATGTGACGCGATAATGTTAAATATACTAGTATATTGACTTTACAGAACAATAAGGCACTGATGGGAAAAATGACCTTTTACAATCTTATTGGATCAGCTTTGAATCACATATTTTTGTATCAGATTTTGGATCATGTCGTTAATTGCACATTAAATACTTTGAGAGAGCCAGATACACACCCTTCACATTTGCTCTGCATAAAACAAAGAAAAACACATTTTGGTCCTTAACAAGCCTTTTCAAATCCCCTGAATTGAGTTAAAATACAATGAGGTAAAATCTGTTGTCAATCCATTTAATATGTGTGTATGAACAAGCCTGTTAATATCTTTACACTCACTTCCAGTCCCAATAATCGTCCAAAAGCCATAAATTAT